GACCTTTGCCACCTCTGACAGTGCCCAGGAGTCCTGAGCAGCAGATCCATCCAGAAGAACGGCCACCTCGGCCCTCGACTTGGAGGAAGGGCCCTGGCCAGTGCCTGCCTGGGCACAGCTTTGGCTCACACACGCCGAGCCTCTGTAAATCTCCACAAACACGGCGGCCGCCTGCACACGCTCCCACGGCGGGGACGGAAGGGCTGCATATGGCGCACGGTTTTAACAGCTGAGCTTTAAAAAAAGTGCAGCTTTTCATCTCACTGAACCAGCTCCCAAATTAGGAGGTGGGGAGGGAGGCTGGGGGCGGGGTGAGGGGCAGAAAGAAAAGGAAGCCAGGATGGGAAGAGGCAGCCTTCAACATTCAATTTGATTTTATAAGAAATTTCAGACTGCTATCTCTCCAAAGCACCCTTTGGAAATTGAAATAATGCACTCAGCTGGTCATCCCCAAGTTTGCTAATTCATATTATCTAAAAAATAACTTGTATCCTTTCCTTCTTTTGATAAAAATGAAAATGCATCTAAGACTGAGTCACTCACATGCTTTAGATTGGGTTAAAAATTTTTAAGTAAATTTATAAATGGGATTATTGTTTCCCAAAGTCCTGCTCTGCAAGTTCCACCCTGCCCAGCGGGTATGGCCTGGTCCTTCTAATTCCCTGCCTGGAGGTGGAAGGTGGCTGGAAAGGAACTGAAAGAAGGAGCCTGACACCCACTTTTCCCGGAATTGCCTGGAAACTTTTACTTTCTGTTTCTTCTGCTGATAATGACTGTCTTCGGCTATGCAGCCAGCTCCCCTCTCCCCCTCCCAGCCCCCTGTTGCTGCAGCCTTCCCAGAGCTCCAGTATAAAGTTTGGCTTTTGCAGCAGGAAGCAGCTGGGCCAAGCAACCAGCGAATGATAATGACCTCAGAAATCTGCTGTTCGCTCGGCAACAATAGGGTGCTCAGTCTACTGGAAAATTGTGTTCATCAGCTAACTCTGCTCAGTTACTAATTGACATTGCCAAATATTTTAAGAACAATTGGAATGCACAAGCAAAAAAAAAAAAAAATGAAGATCTTAATCCTCAGACTTTAAATTTTTTCTTTTTCTTTCTTCTTCTTTTTTTTTTTTTTCTCTTCTTCTTTTGGGTGCCTGGATTTGTTTGTGTGGAGCAGGCAGTGGTTATCATGAATGGGGGAGGGGAGAGGGAGCCACAGGAGAAAAAGAGTTAGAAAAGAAAGAAAATCTATCATATCACTATACACCCGATGTAAATGCAAGGAGCCCCGGATAAAGGCCTTTGAGGCTGTGGTCAATGAGCATACACAGGATGGAGACCCAGCATTTCAGGAATGCGGCTCAGGCAACAAAAGAAGACTCTACAGAGCTTTTAGCCCAGCTGATCAAATAATCCTTGTCCATCTCAAAATATTATAGCACAAGAAGTAGGGGTTAACGGTGTTTTCATCTTTGCATCTCTCCCTGGCTTTCCATTGATCAGGCAACTTAGCCGACTTTATTTAATGAACAGAGGGTCAATGCATTCAATTACCCCCTTCCCGCCATCAACACTTCAATTATCCCCACTCCAAAATTATGGGGAATTCGGAAGGTAACTGCCCTGTTGGATATAATGAACAGTATCGTTTCTTAGTACATTAAGTTTTAATTATTCTAAGTGTGATTTCCAAAGCAAAATCTGAAGAAACAGAACTTGGTCATTTTCTGACTCAAAGCAAAGTCAGGTCCAAGATCAGTCTTAGAGGAGGTTTCAGGGAAAGATGCAAAGATTAATACCATCAGAGTGCCTGCATGCAAGACAGAAATGAGGAGGCATCAAAACAGCCGCCCCGCTCTGTAAATGTCATAAAGGAGTAAAATTTATAAGCTGCTGCTTTCCAAATAGTTTCCCTTTGCATTGAACACGGAAGCAGAAATGACATCTAGCATGGTGTGAAATTATTGGTGAGTCAAATAAACAACAACAACAACAACAACAAAACAAAGGGAAAAGATGGGGAAGTGATCTGTGTGATTAGTTTTGTCCATTTTCTGTTAGAAAATATGACCTCTCAATTTGTCAAAGGTCCTAGTTTTTGCAGTTGATCTTAAGCTTGGTTCTCAGCAGTTTGGAGAGCCAAAGAACAAACACATTTTCTGGTTCACTGGAATCATTTTCACATGTTCACTGATTCAAACATTCTTTTGCTCACATAACAAACAGCTGCATCCCACATTAGCCTAGCCAGTGACAGTCACCCATCTCGGCAATAACTGTTTGATTGCAAACTTGACCCCTTCTTCGTCTCGGTCTGAGCAAGACATTTTTGAACAGCCACTCTGTTCCCAATCCTCCTTTGCAAAGAATTACATCTGATAACAAAGGACGTCGCTGCCACTCATTGTAAGCCTTCTTCTAGAGATCTGTTCTAAGAGGCTCTGGTAAAAAGGTTTTTATGATGAATTCAGAACTACTATCATGTTAAGAGCAGCGATTTATAAAGAAGAATTCATTGGTTAAGATCTGAAAAAATAGTTTCTCAGGCCCTACTGACCCAGTTTTCAACAAAAAAAGAATCAAGTGATGCAAATTAAGTTTTGCGACATTGTTATGCAGTCTGAGAAATTTGTAAAACCGTGTTTTGCAGTTATTTCTTAATGGAAGCCTTAATAAGTACTTCTTTCTTTACTTAAGGGCTTCAATTTTTTTTTCCTCCCCTTCACCTTGCAGGTTTCTCTCTAACAGGTAATAATAAAATACCTATTGTGTCAAGATTTTTATTTAAATGCTTATTTTAATAGCACTTCATAAAGTAATACTTGTTAAAATATAAGAGGGGAAACTAACCAGATTTAGTTGAGAGTCCTAAATCCCCAGAAAACCTGAATGCCCCAGACGTGCAGCTGATTTGCGCTGCATACTGGTATGCCATCAATTTTCCTACTTAGTCAGAAAATTATGAAAGGGTCTAATTTGAATATGAAGAAAACAAAGAAGTCAACCAGAAATGAAAGAATCAGTATTCACAATTGTAAAATCCTTCAATGAAGGGAAATAAAAGTGAGAAGATAACCACAACTCAAGTATAGTTCTCTTTTGAGTCATGAGCATGGTTGGTTCTTTTAAACAAAATGGGTTTTTTCAACAGGGTATTTAGAGATAGGGAAGCAACAGAGACAGGAATAGCACGAGGCTATCACTCGGCCAGAAGGTGAGAAAATCATGGTAAACATGTCATTAATGAAGCCGAAGCCGAGCGTTTGGTGGCAGAATATTCGGTGGAGACCTTCTCCTTTTAGCAGGTCTGGGAAGGGGGTGGAAATCTGTCTACGCCAACTCCACATCACTCCAAAAACTTAGGGGAGCCAGTTTGTCCTCTGATCAAAGAACAGCTGAGACTACTCCCCAGAAGAGACCCTGTCTTACAAGGTCGGAAAGAGTCTCTCCTGATGGACAGCAGGAGATGCACTTGCTGCCCCTGAAGCATAGGGATCCATCTTTCCAGTACAGTCAGGCAGGGCAAGGTGCAAGCCTTTCCCTTGTATCTGAAGATGCTCTATGTAGTGTATGACCTCATCTTTCCTCTGTGGTGCTCATGTTCCTGGTTAGACTCTTTCAAAGTGCCTCACCAGTAATAAATCGCAAGCAAGTCTGGGACTCCAGGAGTAGACAGTGTGTTTCATGGGTATTTAAGCAGCAGCATTAAGTGCTATCGGAATCTCTGGAATGTGCAGCTCAGATTTATGTGTCTTAACAATTCTTTACTGGTTTGTAATAAGCCAGCATAACCAGACTTTATTTTAATACTAATTTTGTCCTAGGAGGAGGGTAGGCTGAAGCATGACAATAACAAGAAAACCAAACTAGCATCTACTTAATAAGCGTAGCAGTAAATTGCCTCTAAGACTGAAATATTTATCAAAACTAAGAAGGAGGGAAAAAAGAAGAGAAAACTTTTAAAAAATGACCCTCAACAGTATGCTGCCACATCCTTAACAGTGGGCAATGGAGTGCCTCGAGGTGCCTCAAACTGTCTTTCATTTTCTAGACTTAATGGCTGATTGCAGAAATCAATGTTGCCATTAGTAACAGGGTATTTGTTATGGCATGATTTCCTCTGTTGTTAGGCGGCAGAATGATTACAGTATTAGCGAGGTGCTTTCTTTATAAAGGGCTAGAGATATAACTTTCAATTTACTATCCATTAGTAAGGGACTTTGGAAATATGGATGAAGGCAACCTCTTACCTGCTGTTAGGTAGTGATTTTAATTCAGCCGTCTTAGGCTTGTGTATTTTTTTTTTCCCAAACAGGGCCAGGATGCTTTATCATTTCACAGACATTTTGATGACAGATTTTCTGCTTTGCTATTTTAGACCCCAAAGCCTGTGTAACACAGTACAATTTAAAACACGCAGACACGAATCTGGGTTTCAAACCTCTGCGTCAGGCTAAGCCATCGGAGGAAAGAGGTGTGTCCTCCAGGTCACATGGACCCGACAGGTGAGCCAGGTGGGAATTCTGGAAGCGGACAGAAGATAGGTTTGCTCTGGAGGAAGACACCAGGAGAGAATTCCTAAATGAGAAAATTGTAGGAATATGCTCACCGGGGAGGGAGAAGGCAAGCATCCAAGGGTGGAAGCCATGGTCAGCTCCGTCTTGAAGATGAGGTGATGGTGGACAGGGTCAGGGTATAAAATGGGGCTGAGCAATAACAGGCTCTGCTTCACTTAAAAACATGCCATCTGGCCATCTCCCCCACATGGGAGAAGGATCCCTCATCTTTCCTGGTAGCCAGTGTTCAGGAAAAAGCCAAGGAGTTGAAAGCGAAGCTTTGCCCTTGCAGCAGGGCAGGCTGGAGAACAGAGTAGCAGGGCTCAGCAGCCCAGCAGCCCACACTGGCCCATCCAGCCATGCTGGCCTTAGAACCAACTTGAGAGCAAGTGCAAACCAGGCAGACCCCAGGCAGGGCCCGGTGGCAGCTGCTGTCCCCCATCTTCCCAGCCAACCTACCTGAGGAGGACGGCGAGGAAGGATGTGGGCTGTCCTCCTGAGCACTCCCGGGCTGGGAGAGGCCACCTCCGACCCCGCTCTCCTCAGTGACATTGGAGGAGCCTGGCGTGGTCGACCTGCTCACCGACTGGGACTCTTGGTCACTGCCAGAGCCGCGCCGCTCATCCAGGCCTGCGTGCAGCCCGTCCTCATCCCCCCGGCGCTCCCGCTTGTGGACTCGGGAATGGACAACCACCTGGTGGTAGGTGCGGAACACGCGGCCACAGTCAGGGCACTCGGTAGGCTTTTCTTTCATGTTCCCGGGGCCCTGCAGGTTATATTCGAGCGTTTGGTTCAGCCCATGTGACAAAAAATCCCGACTGCCTTCTAAAGGGTCGAGCTTATTTGGCAGGTCTCTCTGATTGCCCACTTTAGTGCTGTGAACCAAATCAGCAGGCATTTTCTGCTTGGAGCCATCTGCTCCCAGTAACACGTACTCCCGCTTCTCCTTATCAAACATAACTCCAGCGTTTGCCAAAACGTCTTCGTGGTTACGCTGGAGCTGATGCTCTTTAGATAAGAAGCCATGTTCCATGGCCATGCCCCTGGCCATCAGCTGCCAAGCCTGGTAGCTGTTCACGGGGTCCATCTCTGCAGCTTTGGCAGCCGCCTGCAACCGCTCAATGCAGCTGGATTTCAGCGGCGGCACAAGGTTGAGGCATCCCAGGAGCGAGTGCTTGTCGCCCTCAGGGACACCGTGTGCCATGCTGGAGAGGGGTGACAGCAGCTTTCCCAGCACCTCTTTCTCCTTCATGGGGAGCTCCCCCTTGCCATAGAGCTGGCCAGGCTCGCTCAGGCTGGCTTTATCTGGGGCTATGAAGCCACTCTGCAGGCAGGACAGGTACCTGGAGTACAGGTTGGCATGGGCCTCCTGAGACATGCCGCCCATGGGCACAGGCACCTCGGGCTCACTGGGGGACTTGTTCTTCACCGACAGCTTGTTGAGGTGGACCTTCATGTGGTTCTTGAGGAACCAGGGCTCTTTGAAGCGCCGGCCACAGATCTGGCAGCAGTGCTCGAAGGAGTCTTTGTGCTTCCGCATGTGGCCCTTCAGGAACCACGCCTGGCTGAACACCTGGCCACACACCTCGCAGCGGAACTCGTTGGCCGACTGCTCCCCGCCACTGTTGGGGCCCTGGCCCTGTGCCGACTCTGCGGTGATGTGAGCCTTCTCCACGTGGCTGATGAGCTCCTCCTCCTGCGACGCGGCGAAGTCGCACAGAGTGCACTTATAGGGCTTGTGCAGGATGCGGATGTGGCGGTCCAGCTCCTCCCGTTTCTTGAACTTGCCTTTGCAGAAGGTGCAGCGGAAGCCCGCCGCTGGCGGCCCCGCGTCCTCCTGAACATTGGCTGGCTTGGGTGAGGGCACTGGGTTGGCCACGTCGGGCACGCTGTGGTTGGCAGGCAGGGCCAGGTTGCAGGCAGCCAGCGGCGCCTGCTGCACGTGCGGCGGGGGCTTCAGGTCGGGCCGCGGCTGCAGCAGACTGCTCTTCATCTGCTTGTCCCGCAAGATGGCCCTCTCCTCCAGCTCGTGCAGCAGGCGGTTCTCCTCGCGCACCCGCCCGCGCCCCTTCCCCAGGTTGCCCAGCTTGTGGGTCCGCAGGTGAATCTTGAGGTTGCCCTTCTGCGCCGCGCGGTGGTCGCAGTAAGGACATTTGAAGGGCTTCTCTCCGGTGTGGGTGCGCATGTGCAGGGACAGGATGCTGTTAAACCGGAAGCGCTTGCCACAGAGAGGACAGGGGTACTTCCGGTTTTTGCGCGCATCGTCCTCAATGTCGCTCATCTGGGACATGATACCCAAGTTCTGCCCGTTGAGGAACTGCTGCAGGTCCACCCGCCCGTTGAGGCTGGTGTCCACGTCGCGGCTCAGCTGGTTAGCCAGCAGCGCCATCTGACTGCCCATGGGCTGGCCACTCATGGGCACGTGGGCCTTCTCATCCAGGGGTGCGGGGGTCTTCTCCTCGGGGTTGGGCCGCGGGTGCAGCTCGGGGAAGGCATGGCTGAGCTGCGAGGTGATCTGGTGCAGCTTCTGACTCATGGCATACTGGCCGTTGAGGACCGGGCTGCTCAGGTGGGGCTCAGCTTCCGGGGCCGCCGAGGACACTCCAAGGCACAGACTCGCGTCTTCCATCCCTAAAAATAAAGGCAGAGTTCAGATCTGTGCCAGGTACCGGTGGTGTGGAGAATCAACGGCATCAGCTGGTGGGGAATTTGCATTTCATGCCTTACCTACACATAATAATGCTCAGGAATTATAGTCAAAAACAATAATAAAAAAAATGAATTATTAAATGCCAATTATGCAGTATGGCATTTGCTACTCCAATTTGTTTTGGCGATAGATCGTCTTCCTTGTATTTTCTATTTACAGACTGCAATTATTCATTCACATTTAAATTTTTAATGTTTTGCCACTTTCAACACCTAATAACAAATCAAGGGTCTACATGCAAAACTTTTCCTTCTTTTCCCCCATGGACCACCTGTACCTGTTGGTTCAGTCTAAAGTTTTCCTTGGAACAGAATGGCTTTAACTGCAAGACTGAATAGACATCCAGAACTTTCATTTCCATTTGCTATATTCAATACACTCACCAGTCTGAGATGAAAGAGATCGTTTTATGATTTGGCCAAAAAAAAAAAAAAACAAGGCATGATGTTTACTGGTACATAATAAAACAAGATAATGTTTTGGGAAAAAATAAAGTAAAGGACAGGCTTTAGAACAATAAAAGGGATTTTGCTTTAGTCAACAAAAAGTGCAGTAATATCTCATTAAGCTGATTAGTATGCTGCTTAGAAACAGTACTAGGTGCTGTAACACATGATTATAATCATAAAAATCCTTCAGTGTTTGCAAGGAAGCATTAACGAGGTATATTAAATTTTAAGGAGACTGCAAGTAGCGGCTTTGCAAACCTCAGAGATTAAGATTTAACCCTTATGTTACGAAACACTGTTATTTTATCATTTGGTAACTGTGTCCATCAAAAGAAGTATAAATTATCCCCCGATTGAATCTTAGTGAATGTTGAAACTGCTCAAATGTGGGCGGAGGCAAAGACATCATATAATGGGTTCTTCCTGTCCTTCAACAAGCAAGTCAGCAAAGGCAGGGACTTTGATTGGGCTTAAAAATCTTTTATAGAACTAGATAAAAACCAATTAAATTCCAAGGATGATGCCATAGGAAGTCTCAACCAAGTTTGAGTGTTTTTAATAACTTTCCCAATATACAGTAATGAGTACAAATTGTACCTGCAGTATGTGTTTTGCAGAAAATTAGAACTCAAAGCTGTTTGTTAAACACTAACACTCAAAGCCCGTCTGTGTAATTGACTTTAATAGTGCTCTCTGCCCCTCTGCAGCCTGCGCAGAAAGGGAAAGCCAGGCCATTTCAGGTGGGTTAGAGAGTGCAAAATCCTCCATATCAGAGCCTTCAAGAGAGAGCTCAACTTTGAAAGGCACTGAACCAAGCCTAAAGTCCTATTTCCAGATAATGGCTTCCACTTGAAGGAGTCTAAATTCAGTTCCTGCCTTTAGAATGGCTTGTGCACATCTCTCCTCTTTGTATCCCAATGTTTAGCTGTGTTGGCCAGCCAGGTGGTCCAGGACTTGTGTTTAAAACCAGCCAGAACCGTGGGGCCAAGCAACTTCCCCAGGAAGCCTATGGGGACAGAGCTCAACTGTGGAGGAAGCACACTCAGCCTTGGTAGGATCTGCTGCCTGCTGGGCCTCCTACCAGGGACATTATGCACGGCATTGAGGGTCTCCAATAGGAGAACTGACTTTCTTGGCAAGGTAAGGAGCTGTAAGCCCATCTTCCAAAGGAAGGGAGGACAAAGACATGGGTGGCCAGGCATGGTGGGACTTGCCTGTAATCCCAGGACACTGGGATGGTGAGACAGGAGAATTATAAGTTTGAGTCCATCCTGGGCAACTGTCTCAAAATAAAAAATTTTAAAAGGGCATGAAATTTAAAAGCGTGAAGGTCCTAGTTTTAATCTCCAGTACAGAAAAAAGAAAGGAAAGAAGAAAGGAAGGGAAGGAGGGAAGAGGAAAGGAAGGAAAGGAGGGAGAAAGGACAGGAAAAGAGGGGGGAGGGGAGGAGAGGAGAGAGGAGAGGGGACGGGATGGGGAAAGAGATGTGGGTGTGTATTTCCAGGAGGGGGAAGGTCTGCAGCCACTGTGCAGGGGTTAACTGTGTACCACTGAGCACACACACACGCGCACACACACACGCACACACACACACACACAGGCACCTAGTGGTTCAGGGTCACTTGTGATAAGAGAAAGCTTCCAATTTGCCATCTTGCCTTTTTGGTTTTTGTGACAGACTATACCCAAATTAAAAAACAGGCCCATCCTGAAGACTGCTCAGGACGGAGCTAATTTCCCATGGACATTCTTGCATTCATTCCACAAACTTGCTGAATTCCCACTGCGTACCAGACTCTATCACCAAAGGCATGGACATCGATGTGACTGGCCGGCCCAGGACTCAGCACTCGTGACTAGCAGGAAGGGGCAGGCCCAGTGTGGAGAGGTTGCAGGCCGCTCCGGGCAGGTGCTAGCGGCCTCTAGGGTCCAGTGTGGATGCCTTTCTCCACCTTCACCCCCATCCAGTTCAGTGAGCTCCTCTCCTGAGCAAATATAGATCATGACCCTTGAGCCACATGTGAGCACTCAGAATCCCACCCAACAGCTCTGTGGAAGTTTGGAAAATCCAAAGCCAACATAGCTGCCTAGTCGGCCAGCTCAGAAGCCATGAATCCAGGAAGATGAGCTATTTTCAGGTTACTGCTGCTAAGCTCACACCAATTCAGCAGGAGAGACAGGAGGGTGACTGTGCAGCGCAGTGAGGCTGCAGATCAGGTTGGATGAGGGGCTTCACGTTGAAGACCATGTGCCCTCCGCCTCTCATGCTGTGAGAGCGATGGCACCATTACTTGTCAGCTGATGGACATGGAGGTTCTCAAGTTAGGCCTGAGTGTGAAATTCTTTTATTTGTTCAAAAACAATATTTTTTTAAGAGTTCACAAACCATTTTAAACCCCTTTATGCAGTTGGTCTTTGGATGTCATTGTTGATACCTCAGCAGAGGGGAGAAAAGAATGTTCCAGAATGTGTTTTTTCAGCTCTTTGCTGAGTTGGCTTCTTGTCATGATGCAGGTCTGATCTCAGATCTCCTTCTCTTAAAGGCCTTCTGTGACCATCCTGTTCGAGGCTGACATCCTCTGTCCATCTCCTAACTTTTTCTTCATAGCTACCACCCCTAGGGTAAATGTGTCATCATTAAGCTTCTTTTTCTTGAGGGCAGAGGTCAGGTCTGCCTTGGGTCACAAAAAAGCCCTAGGACTTGGAGCACAGCTGGCTTGTCTTAGGTCCTTGGTGGAGGAACAACTCAACAGACCCTGGAAGCACAGCCCATGAAAGAAGTTAGCCACAAAGGAGAGCCAGCTTCATGTGACTCAATCTCAGCTCTTGCACTAGTCCAGGAACATCTATGATCAGGTGTGTGCCTGAAAGGGTCTTGAGCTACCACTCAGAAGCTCAAAGTCCAGAAACCAAGAAAAGGCCACCATCACCACCACCTCTCTTATGCCAGGTGCCCTTGGTGTCATCCTAGGCCTGGGTCACCTGTGATGACGTCACTGCTGGACATTAGGAGACAGAGGGAAAGTACTCCCTTCAGATCTTGACAGACAACCACAGAGCCCACGGGAGACCTTAAGGTTTCTGAGGAGGTTGTTTTTAGCAATAAATGAGTCTGGGAAAGCCTGAGAAGTGAGCCTCAATTGGAGGCAGGGCTGCGTCAGATGTTCCCTTAGCATCCTCTGAGATTCACAAGCAGGTACAGCCGAGACTGCTGCCATGGGCCGGTCATGACCAATCCTGCTGCTTAACTCAGAGCAAGAAAGGGAGCAAAGTTCTTGGAAAAAATGTGGGGTAATTGGTGTGTTGTCCCTGGGCCAAAGCAGCCAAGGCAGGAAGAGCTGGCCCCAGGCCCAGCCCAGGGCTCACAAAACCTGGGTCAGCCCCAATTCCTTCACACTTCACCCATCCAGAATTTATTTACTACTTCCTTCAGCCGTTTAGTAAATATTTGCCAGGGACCTTTTATGTACCTGGCCTCAAGGGCCTGTGAGCCAAGGGGCCATTATAGGAAAGCAAGGCAAAGCTCCCTGAGAAGCTAGATCCAAAGGTAGAGAGAGGAGAAACCAGTGTAGCTGCAGTATGCAGAGGATGTATGCGTGCTTCTGTGTGTGTGAGTGTGAGTGTGTGTGTGTGTGTGTGTGTGTGTAGTGCACCATCACGCGTATAAGTACAAGTACATCCACGTTGAGAAAAGGACAGGGATTCCCCAACTGGTAGGTCTCCAAAACCGGATATAAATGCCTACCTGAGGAAACTAAAGGAGTTATTTATCCTATCACTAAAGGTTTGAATCCACCTGCTGCAGAAGGAGCTCAGGAGGCTGGAAGAGGTGGGGCTGCCCACAAGAGCTCCACTGTCGGGATGGAAGGAGTTATTACTCCTTTTCCCAGCCTGCTGGGAAGCAAGCACATGGTGAATGCCTTCCAAGGGGACCACAATGATGCCGGACTGGAGCCTCGGGGTGAATATCTATCTGTGTCTCTTGAGGGACCTCCTGCCACTCTGCACTCTGCAGCTACATCCTGCCAAGCAGGGCAGACACACACAACCACACACATTGCTGTGCCTACTGGCCAGTTTCCAGGGAGCTCTTTAGTCCATAGGTTCAAACATCCTTCACTTTGCAACCCTGACTCTGGACTTAGTGCCCCTGATCCAGGAACTAGAGACCCACATGGAGAAGACTGGATGGAGCCCCAGAGGGTGGGCCATGACCCTGACCTAAAGGCAATTAAGCAACAGGCCTTCTGAGTAACCTCTACAAGGACTCACCGGGACCTTCTCACCTATGTGGGAAAACTGTAAACACCATTAAAAGCAAGAAAACTACTAAACAATGAGAACAAACTTGCCCCTGGCCTTCAACTTGTGGTCCCAGTCCTCAGCATACAAGGAAGAGGATCAATAAACCCCGCCTGACTGACAGAAGGAACCAATGAATACACAATTTTCTTAACTCTGGAAAGGCAACC